AAAGGAAGATACAAAGCCATCAGGTGAAACTGGAAACTATCTCTGATTCATTCCTACCACTGATTGATGCAAATAATAACAGTTTTTTATCACTGCTTTACCGGCTATTATAGCATGCAGCTCATCATCCAGGTTTCTGACCCAGCGCAGGAAGCAACTCGTACCCTGTATCAAGAAGAAAACACAATGACTTCGGTTGTTTCAGTTCGAGGAAAAGACTACATGTAACATCTGTAATGAGTGAGTCATTAGCTGATCTTGGAGGCAAACTGGTGATCTTATCTAAAATCAAACTGAATACATGATTGGGAAAATTACGAACAATAACCTGTTATAAAGTTATTGTTTATACAGACTCTATCAAGAAAGTATACAAACATATTTCATTGTAATGATTTTTCAAAGTGAATTCATAAATTCTACTTTTGCCTAGATATAGAATGCTGGGAAAACTATCACTCCCACTGTCACAAAGAGAAGAGGCTGGATAAACTACAACTGTGTCAAGCCAGAATCCTTTACCAGAGAAAATATTCTTCACTATCAAGGTGATAGAAGCTAAAAATTTCTCAGACCGATAGAAGCTAAAAAATTCATCCCCTGCAGACCTGCATTACCAGAAATGTTAAAGGTAGTTCTGTGGGCAGAAGGAACAAGGTAACAGATAAAAATTTATATTTATCAAAAGAAATAAAGAGCTCTGGAAATGCTAAAATGAAGGCAGATGTAGAAGACATGTTTTTCTTATTTTTAATTGCTATAAAAATGAATCATCTAAAGCAGTGGTCAAAAACTACACCCCACAGGCCAAATCTGGCCTGCCACCTATTTGTATAAGGCTCATAAGTGAAGAATGTTTTACACCTTGCAGAGGATAAGAATTAAAAGTATTTTGTGACATGTGAAAATTATATGAAATTCTAATCATAATGTGATAAAGTTTTATTGGAACACAGCCAGGCTCCTTCATCTGTATATTATCTGTGGCTGCTTTCACACTATAACAGCAGGGTTGAGTGGTTATGAGTGAGACCATATGTTCCACAGAGATTAAAGTATCTACTACCTGGGCCCTTTACAGAAAAAGTTTTCTGACTCCTGGTCCAAAACAAAAATAGTAACAATGTATTGTGAGGTTTATAACATATGAAAAGATAAATGTATCACACAAAGGATGGGAAGGAAGAATTACAAGTATGGTGTTGTAAGAGTCTTACACTATACTGAGTGATATAATATTATTTGAAAATGTTAACTAATACATTTAAAATGTTTATTATAAATGTTAAGGCAATCACTCAATTTAAAAAAGAGATATAAATAATAAGGCAATAGTAGACAGAACACAAAAAAGTACAAAATTTTTTAAAAAATTAAAATAAATTTAAAATATATTTAAAAATACTCCCCAAATCCAGGATACCAAAAAAAAAAACAAAAACAAATATAAAACAACTAAAAGAAAGTAGGTATCAACCGTACCAGTAAGTACATTAAATGTAATATTCTAAATATACCAATTAAAAGACAGATTATCAAACTGGATACAAAAGGAAGAACCAGCTATATGTGGTCTAAAAGAAACCAACTTTTAAACTGAGGTCACAGAAGGATTAAAGAAAGAGGATGAAAACAGTATACCACCAAACTTAATCAAAAGAAAGCTGGAGTAGCTATATTAATAGACACAGAAGACTTCAGAATAAGGAATATTACCAGGGATAAAGAGGACCATTACAAAATGGAAAAACTGTCAGTCCACCAAGAAGATACAGAAGAAATAAGGTTAGTTTGTAGTCTTAATTATGTCCTTCGGAAGATGCAAAAAACTGATAAAAATTTTTCATCACATACGGTTTTAGAGCACACCGTATGAATATTTCTTACAAGAGATTTTCTGACCCAGTCATATTATCCTTAGTTTAATACCATTAGTTTGTATTACCTAAGCAAATAATATAGTAACAAAAATGGAAATAAGTAAAACAAAAAAAACAACAAGAAAAGCAAAAAAGCCATGTTTTGAGATATGCTGGATGGTGGAGAATAACCAACTTGGGCTAAAAAGTGTTGGAGATAATCCACATATAAACATTTAAGAGTGTATTTTAAGAATAAGTACAAACACTCTGATGCAAGAGATGAAAAAGAATGTGACTATAAACAAAATCCTTGTTTTGTATATTGTATATTGTAACCCTTGTATATTCAAAGACATTAATAATGCTTCTTAGTCAAATCATATTGAAGATGCTTTCAATGCTAGTAATACTTCAATAACAAGTGGTTAGCTCCCTGTAGTTTATATTTTGTCAGTTGTTCCTTTCCATTTCTAAATACCTTCTCCATATCTACCTTTTAAAAATAAACTGTTACATAAAATGATACACAATTATCTTACCCAAAGTAATTCCAGAATTCAGTCTTTAACAACGGTGTGGGTGTTCATGCACACACACACACATACAGATCAACCTGAGTTAACATACTTTACCATTTAAATTTAGAATCTAAATTTCGGGTGTTTAATAAAATATCAGTAATGTGATTTCTTATCAGTGATTTCCATTAAACACAAGGCCATTACTTCAAACTGCAGGGTACTGTGTCACACACCCTACGCGCGTGTTTAGGTGTGTGTTCATACACGTGTGGGTGCATCTATAGGAACACGCAGAGAGAGGTGGGAGAATGTTAAATTTGTTGACTTGAGGGAGTGTAGCAGAAACAGTGAGGAGACACAGAAAGTAAGTCACCACTTACATAAGGTACAACAAAATCCTTACTGGTTCTATCAAGGGTTGATATCAGCTAGAAGGGTCTGAAAATGTTTAAATTAATAACTAGGTAGTAAATATGATTAAGAGACAAATAGATCAGGTAGATTAGTATCACTTCTGATGTTAGAAATAAAGACATTCATGTTTTCTCAGTGTCTATGTCATAGAAAGAAAGAAAACGAGTCTGAAAACCATTAATACTATGTATAAATGCAAATATAACCACACTTTCAAGCCTATTAAATAACATTTTAAAAGAAAATTCCCAATGTATTGTGCAAAGTTGCTGATGAGATATTTACAAGTCCTACAAAAAGAAGCATTGAAAAAAATGATAGATGAGTTATTTGAACAAAAGCCGTGTTCTTTCCTTCCCCCTTCTCTGCCCTGTTCTGGAAGCCTTACCTTGTATATACTAACGAAAGAGCCCAGAAAAGCTCCAAGCTGGAAGTTTTCTTTATTGTAGAAGAGAGAGAGCAGCCGGGATGGCTGTGTGAACAGGTGCCTGAACGCGGAGGGGATGCGGAGGCAGCACTGGATCAGGTATCCCACGCTGAACATTCTGATGAAGCCCTGGAGAAAATTGGGAGGAAATGCTGACTTACAACCAAATTTTGAAGTGTGATAGATATGAATTTTACTGTCGCAGAATCAAAACAGCACTAAATAAATAATTAAGGCAAGTTTATATTGCAGCCATTTTCAAAATTAAGTCCTGAAACCTCAATTTTAAAATAATTGCCTCAAAAATAAGGGTGAAATCTAAATCTTGCAGTGAATATACTTTCTTTGATTTACAAAAACTTTAAGTTTCCCAAGCACTGGCCAAGCCTGTCTATGCACCAAACTTCCACTTCTTGACATTATGTTGACAATAACCAGGATTTATAAATCCTAAATAAACCAAAACTGAGTTTTAGAAACAAAAGGACTGAAATTCCAAAAAAACAGTTAACAAAAACAAATGCTCTGGAAAATTTTAACAGAAAATGTCTCTTAATCATTACTTTGAAAAGGGATTCTTCTGACAGAAAAATTAATTTGTGTTATTTGTTTACATCTTTGGTATCTTTTTAAACAATCAGGTTTAGAGAGTTTCCCAGGAAAAGAAATAATTCTATCTGGATTTTTCTTCCTTTGCTTAATGTGTCAGGCTAAAGTATCTTGAGGGAACAGTAGCCTTAAGGTAAACTGAACAAAACTTGGAAAAGCAAGTCTGCCACAAATCCACATTTGCTGTCCATGTTTCTCCGCATCACCTGCAACCGTGTATAGTGCAAAGGGGAAGGGAGAGGATGACAGGTGTCGGTCAATTTCGTTTCAGTATTTAGGAAAATGAAGTTTGATCTCACTTAAAACCAAGAGACTGAAAAATTCCAGTTATCCTGAAACAAAATACTGTCAAAAAGAATATACATGATCCAACCAATACGCTGTACTGCTGGCCTCCAACCCCCTCCTCTGTTACCCCCACCAGAATGGGAAAAGGTCCACATTCTGAGCAATGTGTGCTGCTAACTTCCAAAGGTCAGGTTGTATCTTCTGGACAGTAGCCTTCTTTTTTAGAAAAAAACTGAATTCCTATGAAGAAACATTCATTAATTAACCTGAAATGACCCAATACCTGGTTAAAACATGGAAATTAAATAGTCTAATCAACTAGTATGAATCACCATGCATTTGCTGAACTGAAACTGCCGAGTGTTTGTTTAATGCATGAAGTGGACAAACGTCTTTCTTGTCATTGACAACCTTATAATATTAATCTAAGGATTCAGAGATCACACTCATGTTCAGTCATCTCATGCTGTGCCAAATGCCTCATATGTGCCAAACATTACCCTGGACGCAGGGGAAAGAGTAGTGAAGCGGACACAAAGTTCTCGCCTTCATGGAGCTTCCATGCTCATTGGAGGAAGACAAAATAAGTAATCAAACAAACAGAAAATAATTACAGGTTATAATGAGCATTGTGAAGGAATTAATCAGGGCACTGGGAGACAAATTAACAGGGAAATCTGTATCAGAGCGGTAAGGGAAGGCTACTGAGGATGTGGCATTTAAATAGACACAGAAGAGGAGCGAGCATGGGAAAACACTTCAGATAGCTTGGATCAAAAGACAAAGCCAAAGCAGAGATTGGCTGGTACCAACAAAAAGTTAGTGCGAATGCAGTACAGTGAGTCACGGGGAAGGCAATTCATCTGAATGTTGACTCAGGGATGTGATTTAACATGGAGTGTAACTGCATCTATGGAATAATGAGGTGCACTGTCAAAATATTTTACTATATTTGTGATGTACATTCCTCACCCACAGCTCTTCAAATAATTTTACATCCATGGACACAGAACTGTACATAAGTTAGCAAGTTTACAGTACTGGCACACATTTGAAAGAATGACTATTTTTTCATTGCTCAGTAATTCTAACTTGTCTAATTTTTAGCAAAGTATCACCTGCCCTGTCCCCCAAATTTCTCAAATTGCTGATGTAATCAGAACACTTTTCTCAGTTCCCGCCTGAAGCATCCCTTGCGCTAGAACTCTGTCCAGCGGAGGGAATGGCGACCCTCCGGGAGCTGGCGGGCTTGAGGCTGCTACTACTTTCCTCTTTTTTTCCTTTTTTAATTGGAAGGAGTGTATCAGAAAGTTCTGCACAACTAAAAAAAATACTCTCCTGCCTCTACCCCTGGGTCCCGTCTTTGGGACCCCGAAAGGTAAGTGTTGACTTGGCTGACAGCCACCATCAATACTGGGCCACAGGCATTCGCGTTCCTCAGCACTCGTGCGAACAGTCCCTCCCCCAGAGAGCGCCCATCAGGAGGCTGTCTTTGGGGTGCTGTACAGCTCTGCTCTTCTCACCGTCAGTGGAGTGGGGATCAGATGTGGGAGAAGGAGCATAAATTTTCTAAAGCATGAGGACTGTTAGAGCGCCATCCAAAACTAAAGAACTTGTAGCAGGTGGTGCCACCTGTGCCAGACTGACGGCAATGAAAATAACATCCTTGCCGGGGGTGGGGGGGAAGGGGGGGACTGGGAGGCGGGGGGTGGCAGGCAGGGCGTGGGGGTGGGTGGAGTACACTGGGCCGCACTGGCACGCTGGTATATTAGGGAGCAGGGAATTTATGCCGGGGGCATAACTAACTTTCTTAATGTAGAACAACTGTGGACATGCTCCAGTTACCACCATGCCTTAAAAAAAATGTAACAGCTCTACGAGTCCAAAACCAAATGCCACAGTCCCAGACTGCGCACAGTGTGTGTGCGTGCCCGCTCACCCACCAGCCCAAGGCACGGCCTGGGGCCTTCTCCTAAGACGTCTAATGAGGATACACTGCATGGTACTCATTCTAATGACTTGACTTTTCTGTCTTTGTCGTTGCTTCACTCTCTCTTCTACTTTGTAAGTTTTACACTAATAAGCCAATTTTAAAATTATTTAACTAAGGATCTGAAGGCTGAACCGTTTCCTGTTTCTCACAAATGTCTTCAAGTCACATGCAAGGAATGACAGCAATTACTGTCAGCTCTTCCATTTACTTTGAAATTACATTTTAATAAATAAGTTCTTTCTATACACACTCTCTGTGGTTATTAAAGTAGATTTTATATACTTACTTTAATGCAGTAAGAGATGCAGTTATCCTCATAGTGTTTGCAACATCTATGCCTTGGTCCATGCTTACATCTGAAATGAAACCAAAAAAACTAACATAATTAAAATGTGTGTGCGTGTGTGTGTGTGTTGATCTACTTAAAACTTTCTAACCAAAGAAGGAGAAAACGTTATCAACTTTTCTTAATCTTGTGCATCTTTTGATTTCTCAGGACGTACAGAGGCAAAGATAACAGATTTTTTTGTCCTTTGCTGCTCCCCATTTGACACAGTGTACAAAATATGCGACTGCTGTCAAAATATTTGAATGTGGAACAGAAAAACCATACTGGTAAATATTTGTGACTAAATATGAAAAGTATGTACATGTTATCTCTATACATGCCAGATCTTTTGAAAGCTTTAAATCGCTTATTGTAGTGTATAACGGTCGTAAATTATCCATGAAGTCAGTACTTGAGCAGAAATCATAATGAGAATGTGCTCAGGTTACAGGAATTTATACTTAATTATATTTGAGAGAAAACATATGGGAAAGAAACATAATATAGTATTAGAATATAAAATCCAGTTTTTAAAATAAATATAAAAATGGATCATATGGGAATTCAAAAGTAGCATATTTGCGATTTAACTGTAGACCGCCTAGTCCTCTGATATTTAATAAACACTTCTGCTGGAAGGACTACTGTTCAGGACACACTTATGTTAATTATTTGGTATGTTGACTCCAGGACTGTTTATTCACTCTGGGCGTAAACAAGTAAGCAGAACATCTAATGTGGGTTTAGCTCTTCCCCTTTGCCTTTGAAGAGTGCATGTTCCAAAATCAGCACCCTTTGTAACCCTTTCAGACCGTGGTTAATTCATTATCTTCATGGTCGGAACACATTAACTCTTTCCTGTTTAGAACAGTAACTTGTAGAGTGATAGTCTGGCTCCACATCTCTCTAATTCCATTTGCAAATTGATTATCAAGACCTTTCCCCGAAAGCTGCAGTTCTGCACAGCAGCTGGAGTATATCAGCGGCTTTTTCTAGTCAGCGGTGACGGCAATACTTCATCCTGACCATGGTCCTTACGTCGTTAGAATGATATGACATATCTGGTCATGTGAAGTTGCTGAGTGATTAAAGCTAGGGGCCTGAAAAGTGGTGAATCAGAGAAGGATGCCTTGTGTAAACCATCACTCTTCACACTTCCAAGTGTCCTCTTCAAAGACATTTCTCAGCCATTGCTACATGAACTACAGAGAAATCGTTCAACTCTTTGCTAGTGAAGTCAGATTCTGACATCAACTATGTTGTCATTTAATCTCTCCTAGTCTGTCATCAAAATGGCTTCCCAAGTGCCGGACGGCTCATTATCCTATATTCCCCACTCTGCGTATATGTTCTCCTGCACCTGCTGTCACACCGTGCACCCACTGAGGCTACTCTGACACGTTCTGCCATGACCTCGTCAGCTCTGATACCCAAGACTTCACTCCCCCACATCATGCATTTTCTGCATCCCCCTGTGACCCTTTCTGACATGATGCCCGCCAGCAAGACCCTGTCCCTCTCCTCTACTAAGGTAGCACGGAACTGTTCTGCACCTGCTCAGTAAATTCACTACCACAATTCATCCTGCCGTCTACGATCCCTTCTTTCCTCTTACCTTCTGCGTTGTGTGCTAAAATGAAGACAAAGTCTTTACATTCAGTAAAAAGTTTGAGCGCCTACTCTGTGCTCATGTATATGAGGCAACGCTTATGTTATTTCATTTACTGCACACAACACTCCTTAAAGAATGTTAACCCCAGTTAACCAGTGAGGACCTTGGGATACAGTGGTTAAATCACTTGCTCAAAGTCACAAAGCCAGGAGGGGCAAAATGAGTCGACACAGTCTTCCTAAAGGCCATCAGCTTCCTGTAGGTGGTCCCCTAATTTTCTGTATTGCCTACTCATTCCACACTCTATAAAGCACTCCAAGATTATTTTTATTGTCTGATATTCTAGTCTTAAACCATTAAATTTATCTTCTTAAACATCTGCACTTGAAATACAAATGAAGACTCATCTGTATCTAGACTTCTTTGTATAAGATGCAAATAAAGATTTCTTATTTCCAAAGCCCTAAACATTTCCCCTCTTGCAAAATACCCTTTACTTGAGGTTTACTCATTATTCCCATATCTTCTGGAATCTCTCTTGGAACTTTTCTCTCTCCTTTCCACACTTGACACATTCGGTTAGCACATATTAATCTGTTTCCAGAAGCTCCCCATTCTAGCCTCCTGCCACTCTGCTCAGTTTGAAATACAAAAGTATTTCGATCTCATGTAAATCTATTTTAAAGGCATATAATGGCCTTTAGTCCTGCCAGAAATAACACATAACATTCACTTGTCATCATGTGCTTTTTTATAAAACTCTATGCAGTTTCTGGTAAAAAAAAAATTACCTGAAAAGAAACCAAAAATATCTTGGCATGGTACAAAAACATATAAAACAGTGACAAAATGTGCTAAAATGTCAAGATAAAGAACTCACACTGAATCCACAAGCTTCCTGACTAGAGCGATTATATTCATTCTTCTTGGTTTTTCCTCATGTTTCTCTGTCTTTTGTTCCACTTTTGCATATGCTGCCTCTGGTGAATAAGAATGTGTGGGAATTTCTTCCTTCCCTACAATGAACCTAAAGAAAGGAGTACAATGAGAGGCATTTTTCCCTTAAAAAAAAATCAATGAGAAAATAAACAGATTTTGTTTACATACAAATACATTTTGGACAGTACCTTATCATTTTAAATAATACTTTCCATAATTTATATAAAGTCTAATCATCCTTTAAAAAAATGGGCTTCTGGAGTCTGAATAGAAAATGTTAATCACCGCTTCTTTAACAATGCAGTTATCTTAAAATCAAATTTACCAACTAAAATACAGCATAGCACTTTGATGCAGCACCCTTTTAACATAGGGTACTTTCTTTTACACTCCTTAAAGTTTTTTCAAACAAGAAAGCAGATGAACTATTAACTTGGATCTACTAGTTAATGACAAAAAAATTCTATTTTTTCTCAAATTTTACTAATATTACAATTGAATGCATTTCTCATTTTTTACTCTAAATTTATATCTAATGTCATTTTGAGTCATAAAACAGCTGCATTGCAGGTCAACTGTATGCACATAAGAAATAGACGGAACCGAAGAATGAGAGTCAGAAAGTAGTCAAGATTCTGTGTGTCCTCCTCACATTACTTCATTAGAAAATCTTAAATTTGTGGGAGGGGTGGCTATAGCTCAATGCTAGAGCACGTGCATGAGGTCCCGGGTTCAATTTTCAGGACCTGCATTAAAAACAAAAAGAAAGAAAGAAAAGAAAATCTCAAGTTTGATGTTATTCTAATCTTATTTCAATGCGGAAAAATCTAATATCCAGGAGGAGACACCATTCCTGTCTCATCAAAGCTGGACTATATTTTTCCAAAGACAATACAAAGAAAACATTACCAACAGTCAGTCTCCTTCAACAAAGCTCTCATTTTTGCTGTTTGCACCTTTACTGTAAGAGTTATTGCTCTTATAAAGAATAGCTAAACTTTCCTTAAGCAACTCTACCTGCTGAACCTTCAGAAAATATCACAAAACACAGATAAAACAGGAGATCAATAATACTACACGAAAATTCTGGAACCTGGGAACTATGACAAACAGTAAGAAAATTAAAAGTACTCATAAAAGAGAAAGAAAAACCGTTACTATGAACAAGTGCAACCCATCTCGTTTGGATAAACTTGGTACCAAACACACCTAGTTTATCAAACTGTAAGGGGTGTCCAATGAGACTGACTGTCGCCAGGTGGCAGCAGTGCCTCCTTGGTAACTGCTAGTCCAAAGGAATCTGGTTCTTAATCGTGGGTGTGAATGAAGAGTGGAAGATGTGCATTACTGCTCTTAACAAACAGGACAAAAGTATGCTGGAACAGACAGAATAACACCTCTCCTACATTTCAGAAACTGTTGCTATTTTAGCCAGGACTGGCCACTCAGATTACAGCTCACTTCCTCGGAGAAGCTGTCCCTGCCCCAAGCTAGAGAGACTGGGCCGTCCTTCTTCTGTACTCTCAGCCCAGTGGACCCCTAGGACGGGAAGCAGCTTTTTAGTAGTTTCCTTTCCTCACTAAACTGTGGGATCTGTGAGACAACGCTTACCTTCTCTGCTGTCATCCCAGTGCCCTGCATAGAGTCTGGCACATAGTAAATACTTAGTTAATACACATCAAATGAATACAGTAATAGCTGGCATTTTCTGAGCTTTTACTACATGACAGGCACAGTACTGAGCCTTTTAAAAAATATTAAATCAATTTACCCGTCATAGTAACACTATGAAGTAGGCACCATAATTTCCATGAGAGTTAGCATGCAAAAGCAGCTTGTCCACAATCAAAAATAACAGTAATTATTTGAACCCAGAGCTGTCTGACTCTAACGCCTCTAGGGTCTTCATCACCGAGCTCTGCACGCTTCTGTGTTTTAAACTATGACAGCTCGGGCTCGGGCTCCCTTCAGACGCCTGCACTGGCTCTTCGCCCATGGTTCTGGCTGTGACTTCTTCTATTCCCATAACTTCCACTATTACCTTGCAGAACTAGCAAGAATTAACTTTTCCAGAATATTTTCCTAGAACATAGAGAAAATGTTAAGCTCAAATAGTCCAAATCAGCCCTTAATTATAAGTGGATTTGAAGAAAACACACAGAAATATCTGACACATTTTGAGTTTTCGCAAGGATTCTGGGCGTCTAAGGAAAGATACAGGGACAATGGCAGAGTTTTCTCTCTAGGAAAACCAACTTTTTTGTTTGTTTGTCTGGGGTGGGGGAGGTAATTAGGTTTTTAAAACTTACTAATATTAATGGGGGCACTGGGGATTGAACCCAGGACCTTGTGCATGCTAAGCACGTGCTCTACCACTGAGCTGTATCCTTTCTGCTGGAAAACCAACTTTTGATTTTGTTACCAACTGTCGGTTTAACACAGAATCCTTTGCACCTAACACAACAACAACAACAAAAAGCTATTTTCCAGTAAGTTTCATGACCTTTTCATGAAAAATATGACATGAAGAAATTACTGTGCATTATGATTTAGTTCCTATTTACCACAAAGTTTCCACAACCAAAAACATTCTATTCAATAATATAGAAAATTTAATTGTCTAATGTATGTGAAAATGCTTGGAGAACTATAAAGTACAATGCTAACCAACATGTTTGCAGCATTGACTGTGTGACAATGACTGTGGTAAGAGATGGGCTATGAGGTCAAAAGAAGATGCCAGTGACTATTGAAGCTGATAATCCACATGTCTGACGACGCATGAGCCCTGCACATAGTCTGGTACCACACAGTTCAGTACTGAGTTTTCCAGTGATTGTTCCTGTGTAGTTTTGTCTCCCCAAGCTCCTTGAACAGAGTTCTGGTAATTCTTTGACACTCCATGGTTTAAGGCACTCAATAGGCCTCGAAAATGTGGTTGACTGACTGACTTGATTTTTAGGGGGAAAAAATCAACAAATTACTCTGTTAATGAAATGTCCACAAAGCCACATTTGTGATTTTTAACATTACTTTCTGATTAAAAATGGAGTCAGCAAGTATTTTTTATAATTATGATATTTCTTTTAAAAGTTGACTGTTAATTCTCTTAACATAAAGGTAAATAAAATACACTACTTACCTAAGTGCAGAGAACGTAAATCCTTTCAAACCATCTTTGCACCTGAAACAAAAATTTACAATGGTGAAATAACACGTTTTGAGATATAAAGTAGTATATTAAACAGCTATTAAAATTTTTCCTGAAAATGATTTTTTTAAGGTGAAACTCTTTTAAAAAGACACTGACCTGAGCAGTACAAATCATCAAACAGCAAATAATGAAGCCACCCACCTTACACAGAATGATTAAAACGGGGATGCCTCCCTATGGCATCTTAACACAATTCAAGGCTCAATTCTCAGATTTACAGGTTGAAGAGACACTTGAAGTAAATCTTCTAAGGGCTTCATGTGGACTTAACATGAAGGCTGGGAGTGGACTATTCTTCATTCTAGCCAATCCCTGGGGGATTGCTGTGAAGAAAAAGGCCACATACACCTGCTGGGTATTATGCACAGGTCAATTCAAGGTCCTGACTGCTCCCTGCTTATTAATTCAGCGAATGCAGAGCAACGCAGAGCTGGCAGGCACAAAAAGGCTTCAAGTTTAGTTCACCAGTTTTAACTTGTGAATAAGCTCAGTCAGAACAGATGATGTAGCATGAGGAAGGGGCGGGGGCCACAAAGAGAGGGTCCAAATATTAACCAGCGCTTACTCCTGCTGGCGCTGTCTGTGCCCGCTTTATGTGTTATCTCATCCAACTGTATCACAGCTCTATGAATAGGCGTTTCTCTGTTCCATAGCTGTGCAGAGGCCCCCAAAATGCAGCAGCTTCCCAGGGGTCACAAAACAAACAGCAGTAAGAATTTGGCAGGGGGTGAGGGACTTCACTTGACTTAATATTCATAGTTTTCTCTTATACCTCCTCCTAAAATAGTGTATTCATTTTACTTGGGGAAGACTGAAACTACGTGGCAATTAAGGGTGGGGGTGGGGTGGAGGAGTCTCACATCTGCAGAAAGTGTTTAAACAAGATTTTAAAGTGGGAGGCATTACTATACTGGTCTTAATGGCCTGATCTATAGGTATAATCAAGTTACTAAGAAAAATCTTTGTGCATCTAGCTTCAAAATCCATTGGAGAAACTATAAAGATGGGTGATACAATGATGCTCTAACATATGTAAATATTAGACCCTGGATATTCTTGGATAAAAAGTACAGCCTTAAATCTAACTGGGCAGTTCCTTCTGTATGCCTTTTAAATGAAAGGTCACAAAGGAAATGCACAAAAATGTAAGGAATTTATCTTAAAACGTTTAAACATACGTTTTTATCAGAGGACATACAGAATCTCAGGAAAAAATTTAATCTATGTTCACTGAGATGTTTTAAAACACTTAAGAATTCATTTCAATTAAGCAACATCATCTACTTTGTGGTCATGTTAACAGTGAGAATGTAACCAGAGAATGTAGCTAACATACGACATAATTATCTACCCTTAATGAGGGTAAAGACAAAATAATTCGTATGCTAAGCTAAAAATGTACACGGGAAAATTATAGCATTAAAATTCTTAAACTTATCTTTTTCCATCTGAAGAAAGTGTTTCTCAGTAATTTAAAACCCATAATTGGCTAACTTCTACATAGGTGGGGTGGTGAGGGGGCAGGCTGAGAGTCTATTGACAGGAAAACAGAAAGCAGCAGATTGATTAAAAGATTATGTACAACTGGGAACAAATTTTGGCTTTGGGGCGTTATTGTTACAAGATAGCCATTTGTCTTCGTGCAACGCTGAAGAGATAAAGGATTCTGACAACTTGGTCTAGTCAGGATTGCCTATTTGTGACCTTAAACAATAAATCTAATCGCAGACCAAACATCAAAAAATAGCTTTCGAATATAAAAGGGCGTCTGCAAATGAATTTGCAATTTCATTCTGATGGAAGTTGGGTCCTTTCAGCAGAACCCTGTGGGAAGCACTTCATACTGATAAAGTCTTAGCACCGGTTCAAAAGGGGCTGTTCTTCCCTCCATTCATGTGTGTAAGGTCTGGTCATGTAATTGGGGGTCAGATGTCCATGTCAAAAGGACAAAAAAGGAATTATTCCCATAAAAAGAATCTTTAAAGTAGTAATTTTGCCCTGCATTTTGACAGCAAGAGTATTATCTGAGTCTCAGCCTAACTATGAAACACCATTGTAAAATGTAAAAAGTATGGCATTGAACATGAAGATTTATCCAAAACAGATTCCATTAAAAGGTGCCTCACTATTTGATGGATTCAGCTATTATAACATAAATCAAATCACAGTCTCCATTCATGTATTAAGGCTCACTGATTTATTCAACAAATATTGACTGAGTGCCTACTATGTGTACGTGTAAGCACTCGTTTAGGTTCTAAGGACGTAACCGTGGACAGTACAGAACCCCCGCTTTCATACCGCTGGCATTCCTGGTGGGGGAGAGGCAGGATGAAAAAGGGAAGTATGCATGTGGTGGTAACTGCTATGGCAAAAAGCAAAGCAGGATAAGGGGAGAAACAGTGACCGAGTTAGGCCTCTTTTTTTTTTTTTTAAAACAAAAAACAAAACAGCGTGGTCAGGAAGGACCTCTCTGAGAAGGTGGAACTTGGTAATTTATCAGAAACCTGACTGAATTGAGGGAAGGGCATTTCAGTGTGAAGGAAGGGCAAGTACAAAGCCCGTGATAAGGAGTCTGTGTGGCATGTAAGGAGAACAGCAAGTAGATTCCTGCAGCTGGAGCAGGACGGGGCAGAAGTGATGGTAGGAAATGAGGGCACAGAGACAGCGGAGGGGCGGGCGTGGTCTGCGGCTCCTGCAGGCCCTCTGGGCGAGGTAAGGGCTTTGGAAGGTTCTCGGCAGAGGAGCGACAAGATCCATCTTAAATTCTAGGATAATCACTTTGGCCACTGGTTGGAAAAGAGACCACAGAGGGGCAAAGTTAGAAGCAAGGAGGCTAACTAGGAGGAGAAAGATGACTGTGGCTGGACCAGATCATAGTGGTAGAGGGGGAGAAAAGTTAAGATTCTGAATGTACTTCAAAAGCAGAGTTGGTGGAATTTCTTGATGGTTTGAATGCGGGGTACAAGAGAGAATTCACAAATTATTAAAAGATTTTTGGTTTCACAAAATGGAAGGATAAAATATTCTTTTACTGAAGTGAGGAGGACTATGGACGCAACAGGTCTGAGGAGAGTATCAAAGTTTTGTTTGGGGGCATATTAAGTTTGAGGTGCAGGACAGCTATAAATGGAAACATTAAGGAATCAAGCAGTTGGCTATTCAGGTTTGGGTTCAAGGAAGAGGTCTCATTCATTTACATACTTAAATCCATGGGACCAGATACAATCATTGAGGAAATAGTATAAAGGACTGAGGATTTTTTTATTCCTCCATAATTTATAGTGCAGAAAATCTCTTCTATAAAGGAAAAACAAAAATTAATTTCTAACAAAATACTCTAATATAAAGCCTTATTTTTACTTTTGAGTGCACATAAAAGAGAAAATGCATTTAACTTATGTATACATAGACTTTTCTATTTAAGTTAGTCTATGCAAATGATATAACTAGCATGACTCAATCCACAGTTACTGTATCTCTGCGTCTGCAAGATCCTGTGCTATGGGTGATATAAAACAAAGCCAGATATAAAACAAAGCCAGAGACGAGGAGGAAAAACAATTTGCAGCATTGTATCAAACAATTTAGCTGATACACAACTAACAAAGAGGATCAGGTTGGAATGACATTCTATATATACAAGAAAGTATAAAGGAGTTTAATGTTATTCTTATTAGAATAATACTCTTAGTCAAATGCCAATGGGATGGAACTCAAAAAGATAATCTTTTTTTCATTTAAAAATGTTAATGATTTAAAAAAGGAACAATTTTGCTCACAAAGATTCTTTGTCTCATGCTTAATTTCCGTGGAATTACTTCCTTGAGATAGTTTTATCTTAATTACAACATTCTACCAGCAGATGTCACTAGTAAACCGTTTCTGGAAGAATTTGTAGTTCTTTAATCATATTTCCGTATCAAATGTTTTGTTGCATATTTTCCCTTAAAAACACATTTACAGGCATTCGAAATATTACTATCTTAGATAAACTGTATTAAGTTCCCCCAATTAAATATCATAATATGAGACTTAATGATAGGTGATGTTTCCCATCCTATCATTCCAGAGCTATGAAATCTAAGAATACTATTGGGCACTGACATAAAGTTGATGATATGAATATACTGCTGTATTATATGTTCTCTAATAAGCTGAAAACAATGGCAAGTATTTTCAGCGCTAAAAATTTTTGCCTACTCAGTTTCCACTTATTTGGTAAATACAATGATATAAAAGATGTTCTTTATAAATTTTCCTTTTAAATACTTCTAAAGCACTACATGCTGTGGTGGGAAAACTGACATGAACAATGATACAGAATGCTAGTCGTGACTCCTCTACAACCTGGAGCAAATCACTTAATTTTAGGAGTCAATTTTACTATCCATTACAAAAAAAGCCTGGGAGTAAATGACTTCCCTAATTGGCTCACGAAATGATTTCTAATTCTGAAATTTCATCACTTACTTTGTTAACATTTTACTTAGTGCTATTATTAGAAAAATGGAAAATAAAATGAATTTTTGTATAAAGATATTGAATATAGTTCCCTGTGCTGTATAGAAGAAATTTGTTGTTTTGACTAAGAGTTCTAACACACAATGTCCCGAATCACTAGTGCTTTCTAAGAGCTCAGTTACTTTGTACTTTCTGAGTTCAGCTTCAGTCCTGCATTCTACGTCGCCTATCTTACATGATTTGATTTGCGAAAAGTAGTATGGATCTTCCTCCACCTATGATGGAGGAAGATGAACCATCCTCAACTGAAAATACCGAGTCAAAAATGCATTTAACACCAACCAGGTAGCTGAGCCTCGCCTCGCCTACCTTATACGTACTCAGAACACTTAGCCTGTAGTTGGGGGACCTCATCTAACACAAACCCCATTTTGTAATAAAGCGCTGAATGTCTCATGTAACATACTGAACACCGTACTGAGCGTCAAATGAGAATGGCTGTCTGG